GCACGCGGCCGTGCATTAGGACGTCAAAGACGCGAAATCTCCAGGGCAAACGACGGGAGAGCTCGCCTCGAAAGCATCATGCAAATATATGCGGAACGTACTTCGGCGTCTCTACGCACACATTGTTATTCGCTGTGGAAAAAAAAAGGAAGAAAAGGAAAGAAACTTTCTCCGGAGGCCGGGTGAGGAATACGCGTGTAGCTCTGGGTAAGCTGTGTAATTAGAGGCACGCGAGTTGTCGCGGTGAAAATGGCACTGAGAGAGAGAGAGGCTCTATCCAAGTGCGAATTACAAAGTGCGTCGCGAACAATCGCGACGTGAGACCCGTCGGGCTACAGGAATGCTAAATTTAATGCTTCCTCGGCTGATTCAGCGCGCGAAAGGCTAATGGAGTTCACGAGCGAAGTACTTAAAGATGGGGGGGGGGGGATTATTTTTAATTAAAGGAAAAGTCCGCTCGCTTTGCCGCTGTGACTCGGTGAAAGAACGTTGATTTTGCCGCTGATTCAACTTATTTAAAATGTCACACGACCCACTGTGCAAATTTAAGCAGCATGTTTCTGGTGTAAATCGAATTAGAAAATATCCTCTACAAATGTGGGTCTAATTTGAAAAATGATTATCTATATATGAGTGAGTTTAAAGCTTGCAACCGTTTTTTGGAAAATATTTTCATTAAAAGTATAAATTAAGAGAGGAAACATCAAGATTGCCGAAATTGTTCGAATTGGCATCCTTCGACATTGATACGCAGTGCGGCATTTAAAAAATAGGTTGAGTCGCACGAAGGATACCACGATTGTTCTTCATTTGTTCACACGCGTCCATTAATGCGCTGCATTAATTCAGCTCGAGTGTATTAACTTTCCTTTCGTACGCTAAACTTTTCATATGGTCTCGCGGATGAAAAAGAAAAGGACATCTCCCACTTCAATTTCTATTAGGAACGTGCTCCTCGATGTTCCTAATCATGTAACACCCTGTATATACCGGAGAAAGACGGTACGATGTGTTGTTAGGTCAACGAAGAGTCGGGGCGTTTTCAAGTTTATAATCGTGCGATTTTCGGAATAATATCACGCGGAGTATCACGAGAGATCAGAACGATGGGAGAAGATCCAGTTCTCCTCGTAAAGCGGGAGTGCCACCGCGAAGCAATCAAACGATTAATTCGCGTCTCCGTCGCGAGATCGCGACTACATGAGTGATAGGTCGACGGGCGTCGACGGAGTCGATAAATCAAAGAGCGAAGCACTGTCGGAGGTTCGTGCAAAGTAAATTATAAGATTGTATGAGCGACGATGCGCGCACTGGAAACGGACATTTGTGCCAAAGTACGCGAATCGACGAGAGGGGGGTTTCAATATTCCGCGATCAATCGAGATCCGAAAGATCCGAGTGCTTCCATTCGACGTTAAGATCGCGGACTGGGAGAGACGGTCTACACTGAGAAAAAAACTGAGAAAAAAGTGTTCGGTGTATTTGTGACTGTAGTGAGTGTTGCTGTTAGTGTTAGTGATGATAACCTCACATATATATTGTTATCGCTGTTTTCCTGTCGAAGTAACGCGAGAAAAATATAGTTGACGCCGATGATAACTATAATTTTTGGTGAGACTCGCTATTTCTTTCTCTCTCTCTCTCTCAGTGTAGGTCGGTAGGTTTGTGTCGTCAACGCGCGCGCGTTTACACGTACGCACGAATCGAATTCGAGCGAATTCAGCAGCGATCGTTTTCAGTGCGCCCTCGTATCACGCTCGCGTATCACGATGTTAAATAGATTAACTAGATAGAATTATAGCCGGAATTGTGACGTGCATGAAACGTGTCCCAAATATAGCGAATTCTACTTCCTACCGTTTCGGGTCATTGATGTGTCTCCGTTAGATACACCGGTAGAAATTCTCGATCTTGTTGTCGGCCACACGCTCGGTAAATTGTTGACGCACGGAGGTCCACCGTCGTTGATTCTGTCCTGAAATAACATCCTGACTCCTGGACTGACTAAAGAGGATATATATACGTTCCTCTTTAGATTTGGATGCGACATTTTTGGATATCGTTGATGCAATCACTTGTTTTCGATAGGAACGGATTGATTACTACACATTCCGAGAAAACGATGACATCGGTCACATTCTTTTTGTACTATGTATAATGTATAATCATATTAAGAAGACAAGAGAGAGGAGAACCCTTTTGCGATTCTATATACTTTAAACCTCTATAATTTTCCGCCAAAGTAAGTATCGTATCCTCCTGATATTTATCCGATACGTACGTTCGATCGCGTGCTTCCCGATCACGCTGCTCTGAACGTTTTCATATTCGCATGTCATTTCACTTAAACGTAATTAGTCCCTGAACGAAAAAGAGAGAGAAGGAGCCTATTCTTCTCCTCGAAGTCCGCTTCTGCAGGGAGTCGCGCGCGCGAGAATGTCGTTTCGCGACGTTCGCTGGAAAACTGCTTTCACCATCCCACTTATGCGACGCAGTTAACAATAGGGTACCTACGTTAGCGATAGTGATCGTTAGAGCGACTCTTGTCTTGACGTGATCCTTTAGAAATCATCGGCGCGCGACGTTTTTCGTTTCTCGACGTCCCTTCAGCATCGTCATCGTACATCGCTTCGAAACACTTCCGTTTCGCCGAGCGGAGGATCAAAGCGCGCACGTTTCATTTTATCCATGCGAATCAAACCTCTAGTAATTAAGATTATAATTAGCGTGTCAGCGTGTCTCTAAGTTAGGCTCGCCCGGGGCAGTTTTTTCCCTTTCTCTCTCTCTCTCTCTCTCTCTCTTTCTTTCTCTCTCTCTCTCTCTCTCTCTCGTGTTATCCGAGACGGACTTGCTTTCTCGCGGGATTTTTGTACGCACACTTCGGTCACGTGAGTCGCAGGTTTCTTTAAGAAGGGGGGAAGATCCCGGGCGATTATTATCTAGACACTTAAGTAGATAACGCAACTTCGAATTAATGTTAATTTCATTATCTACGACTGTGATATAAATATATTTGTATCGTTACGTTTCGTAACATGTATCCGCATTGATTAATCACTTGGAGACATAAGTTTATGAATATATCGTATGTAATAATAATTGTGCTAATAAATAGTAACTTCGTGAAACGAAATGACGAGGTCACTTATTACTCTCTGATTTGAGCGAAACGCGATGATCTTACGGTGCGCATTACATAATTGAAAATAAACGTGTTCTGTATCTCAGCAGTGCATTGATTTGGATTTTTCTAACGCACGGTCTTCCTTGATTTCATGTATCCAACGAGAAATGTATGCACGTGAAAACGATTGAAATATATTCGAAAGATGTAGTACTGAATATATGTGACTGAATATAAGTTTTCGGCATTTTTTCTTCTCTCTCATTTATATTTCTCTATACTTCTGTGCTTCAGATTACAGGTTTTTATTCCTCTGTGATATTCGCCAGGGAACGTTCGAGCAATACCGAATTTTTCAAATTAAACCTGTTGCATTAAGACCAGAGGTGAAATATTTTTGAAAACAGAGTTGGCGATCATTGATAGCTTTGCGGCGGAAAAAAAAAAGTAAGCGGCAGCTTATTTCGGGACAATAAATTTTCCTTAGCGAGGAAGGATGGCAAGGATATGTTTACATGTCTTTTTCTTAGCATAGGAGGATATTTTACCGGTGTGTAATGTACCATTACCCGGTATTACTTGCTTTCGCTCGCAATTACAAGATGGAAGCACCAGCCGTTGAAGGTACGGTGCCGGTGACTGCAGAAATCAACCTTATCGGAGGACGTTGCGGCTCTTCGCGTGTCCTGTTCTCGAAAATTACCCTGCGATCTCTTCTCCGCGATAACACACCGCGCTCAATATTTCAGCCTTCGCCGACACAAATGAAATCCTTTTAAAATATCGCCGAATTAACATAATTTCTTTGCGCCTCGTGCGCGGTTTAACAATAAAAAGTAACGAGGATAAATGTTTCTTATCGGCGATAGTTTCTTCCCCTTCGTCGTTCAATTCGTCGAGCCTCTTCTCACGAAAGAACCTCGTAAATCAATTTCAGCTTAATTCCCGACGCGCTGTAACGTCGCGGTGTAACCGGGAAGAA